AGTATGTTACTCCTATGGAAGGGTTTGAACGTCCTATTTTGGAGCGACGCAGTCGACCTACTTTCGAGCCATGTCCACTTTTGGGCAAAAATGGAAATGGCCATAAGTCAGTTCAGGTTCAACGGATTTTGCTCATTTCTGGTATGTGAATGAATAAGGACTGGCCCCAACGATAACTCAAGAACCGTTTGACCCACATGTTTCAAATTGCATACAGTTGTTACTCATATGGAGAGATTTGAACGTCCTATTTTGGAGCACGCCAGTCGACCTACTTTCGGAGCCACGTCTACTTTTTGCAAAAATGAAAATGGCCATCTAGATTTATTCAATTTTGTTAAATTTTGGTATATGAATGTGTAAGGCTAGACCCAAAACAGTTGTTACACCTATGGAAGAGATGACAACGTCCTATTATGTTTATTTCGTCTAACTGGTTAACAACTCTACAATCATACCTATATCGTAATATTGTGTTTTAGATTCTTCGTTACAGTAATTTAATTGACTGGAATATTTTATTGTTTTTATTTGCGCGATATTTGAAAACCAAAATGGCGATCAATTTAGGTTAAATAGCATTTAGGTATAAATATAATTGCACTTTTGTGATTAGCCCTTGGTCTGTAACGTGCAAAATAAATTGTCAAATACGCAACTTTTTCGGGGTGGCAGCACGGTCGCAGGTGTCATGGCGCCGTTCAAATTTCGTAGCGTTGATGTGTAATTAATTATAACAATTAAATTAGGTATCTGGTGACAAATACATGTGGGTATAGACGATTTGTTATACAGTAAGTACAGTTGTATGCAGTAACATCCTAGAGGCTACTGTCCCTTTAATTATCCTTCATATGGAAAACTACAACTGTTCTCTAAACAAATGATGAATCATGCAAGTTCCATGTACCTTCATCTTTCTCATTTACTTACTAAGGAATGGATTATTATTAGAATAGTTATCTGACAGAATGGAGAATGGGAAAACAGATGGGAGTTATTACCACTGTAAGCTTTGCTTTAGAGTCGTTGCACTTTCGGTTTGTGTTGTTTTCAATTTCTGCCGAGACAAGAATGTTTTCTCCTGGTACATAGCCCATCCGAGGGATGCTTGCTTCACATGCAAGAGGTCCCTGCTTACAGCACCAACAGCACACATACTTCTCATTGCGGCCAGACACATGACTCTAAAAATGACAAAAGACACAAGTGGCATTCATGATCTAGGGAACTCTATTCGTGTATGCAAACGTTCATTACCTCTTCACTTCAAACCCCCACAGCAGACATTATTTCTGGTCCAGTAACCATATGTACTGAAGTAGTAGTGCTCACACCTTAGTTTCGTCACAAGTACGCAAGAATACCTCGATTAACAACTACGCTCGCACACACCTCGGCTTGTGGCAAGACGTTCAAGTCAAGCACACTGACTACAGTGAACATCTCTTTAACGGTGTGGTCAAACTTCCATGGCCGGTTTATGCAAGCTTTTGCATAATAGCGTACGCCACCATGTAGGCCTTCGAATGTTGAGGGTATCTGAGGCGGCAACCGAATGGCAAAGTCAAAGGCATTCCTGCCAGCAGGCATCATTGGGTTATCTGATGATCCCGGTTCTGCACAAAATAAAAGGCAGTTGCTCAAAATAAATACATTTAATTTTTAATCAAGTTATCCTAGTTGCGACAGTCTATGATTGTAGGCCCATGCTATTAACGCTGAGAGGGTCTATGTCCCCCAGGGTACTGCCGGAACGTACCCTGGTACTAAATACTACTATCTAATATGCCGGACCGTACCTCGCCTACTCCATTAACGAGTCTAGGGAGTCGCCTACGCCTACTCCCTAACCCTAACCATATCAGCTAGATAGTTACCAGGGTAGGTTCCGGTATACTGGACCGTACCCAAAGTACGTTCCGGCAGTATCCTGGGGGACATAGACCCTATGAGCGCTATTAACTGATGCATACCTTATAAGATCTGTGACACAAATATTATATACGATACCTTTTGTAAACAGAATAATTTCATGGTTGAAGTAGAGCTCGTCGTTATTATAATGGACGATGTGCGTGTGTTTGTGCTTTCCACTCCCACTGCTGCGGTGCTCTATCCAATGCACCTTAGCAGCACCATTAAGAATCAACCTGAGCCCTAAATTTAAGAAACTTAAAACGTAAAAATTACAGAGGTACGTACACTCATGATAGCATTGATGAATCATCACAAATAAATTAGAGTGCCGTTAGAATAGCCGTTAATTGAACAGTTCTCGATATATATGATTAAATACACAATTACATATAAGATATATATTAAAGTCAATTATGTCACGGTCTGTGATAACATTCCTAAAGTGACCTTTGTGTTGAACATGATGCAAGAACTATAAAATAATTTTATAATTTAGTTCATCATTAATTATAGCTCAGAGGGATCACAGTTTAGATAGCATAACCAACAAGTCATACAAGTTATAGTCAACCACAAAAGTTAGGCAAGGAAACAAAAGGAATAGGATCTTGCATTAACAGGTGTTACAGGTACGTGCAAGTTCAACAGATCATACATGCAGAAACTATCGATCCGTGTGGGCCCCAGAGAGGTGTTGATATCTATAACAATGTACTGTATGCTGATCATTAAACCGGTCCATGCAGGACCTATCAATCATTGGTTGACAGGGTTCTGGCCCAAATTAAGAATATCTGAGAGCACCTAAACTATATACTGTGTCCCTTTAAGAATCATTTACTACATAATGATGAAACACAGACAATGATATTATAATTACGACATGTACGCTGCAGTTATAGCTCACATACATGAAATAACCGTTAAAGCGACCGTTGAAACTATACTGCTCTATGGAGCAGACTCGTGGACACTCACAAAATCGCTATCAAAAACACTCGATGGAAAATACACTAAGATGTTTAGTGCTAGCCTATATACAATAATCCTGGAAGTCACACACACCAACAAAGTATTGTATGGGAAACTGCCACGAATGTCTTCAGTCGTCAAAAGTAGACGACTTGCATTGGCGGGTCGCATTTCCCGTCATGAAGAGCCCGCAGCGAAGTTACTGCTGTGGTCGCCAGATTCCAGGCGTCGTGTCGGTCGACCCAATATCACCCTGAAATCCCTACTACTTGAAGACACTGGACTCGAACCAGTCGAAATGAAAGTGGCGATGCAAGATAGATGCTCATGGAGGAAAAACTGCCAACGCGACGGAAGTCGGATGAATGAACGAACAGGAAATAAACTTAATCCTTCCATATAGTAAGTCATTGCCAATTGTTCAGTTTGTAATTACTGATTACCTCTCATAGACATGGGTTCATTGAGTTCCACTATCACTTGTCCAGAAAGCACCTGTCCTGCATAGTACACTGGTACTGGTTGTGTGTTATAAAACAATATCTGGAATGCTTTCAACTTCCCCATTGTATTGGCTGATGCTCAAATGTGCCTGGAAAGTCATAATGAAAGTGTTTATAAAAAATTAATTGAGTTTGTATTGGCCAGACTATACAACTGTCTTTATATTACTACACAATGTATATATATATATATATATATATATATATATATATATTATATATACATCTCTTTGTGTATTTATGCATGAATAGACATACATATGATATACATGTATTACCTGACAAGGGGCAAATATCATACGTGTGGCAAATAAGTAGAGATTCGACCTGTACACACCTTTTACATTTTATCTGGTATTTCTCTGATCTTGCATGAACTCCACTGGCACTGGTCGTATGCACTGCTTCAACATTTGTTAGTTATTTCATGTTCATGTCTCGTATCATACATCAAACAGTGCTTGCACATTCAATTCAGCCAAGTTGGATCTCTATGATTCAATTATTTCTGTAAAGCATAGAGCAAAATCAAACAGTGGTTAGATAAACCAAGGCATAATTTGAGAGGTAAATGATACCTTCACATAGTGAAAGTTGTACCATAAATATAAGGTGTAGCGGCATAATTCCACCCAAGTGCCACCCAATGAAAATATGCCCGTATATTCCCTTGCTTTCCTTATAACAACTTGTATGCCTACAACACTAGCTGCTCCTGCCACGTACCACTGTAAACGTGTAGTGTACACATAAGAGACAGGCCCTTGGAACAAAGTCACTAATAAATGAAAGTGTCAATGACACTATAGCTCACCTTGGGTGTGATAGAAGACGGAGATGATATTTAAAATTTGGTAAGTGTTTCATTTATGACGGACCGAAATGTGATCAAATGTCCTTACTCCCCGTTTTATACTAATAGAAATTTCACTGTTTTGTTTCAGGCTTAGTTCTGATGTGAAAATAAATGTTTCATATCTGAAAGTCTGAAATCTGGGCGAGAGATGGCGCTACGCCTAAATGATCGCCATTTTGGTTTTCGATTATCGCGCAAATAAATGCAATAAACTATTCCAGTCAAATTACTGTAATGAAAAATCTAAAACACAATATTACACGTAGGTATGATTAGGTAGGTAGGTAGGTAGGTAAATTTAACAAAATCGAATAAATCTAGATGGATATTTTCATTTTTGCCAAAAAGTGGGCATGGCTCGAAAGTACGTCGACTGGCGTGCTCCTAAATAAGACGTTCAAATCTCTCCCATAGGAGTAACAACTGTATGCAATTTGAAACATGTGGGTCAAACGATTCTTGAGTTATCGTTGACCGTAGGCAGTCACTGAAATGCATAATGAAATTGCTAAAATCTACCTAATTTGCATAATTTAAAAAAAATATCAAAACGCCTGTGATATTTATTCTTACTGACTTATGACCATTTCCATTTTTGCCAAAAAGTGGGCGTGGCTCGAAAGTAGGCCAACTGGCGTGCTCCATAATAGGACGTTCACATCTCTCCCATAAGAGTAACAACGGTATGCAATTTGAAACATGTGGGTCAAAACGGTTCTCAAGTTATCGTTGACCGTAGCCAAATGTTGACGGACGGACAGACGTACGACACCCCATGGCAATAGCTCATCTTGACGATGTCAATGTGAGCTAAAAATATAGTCATCGAATTTCTAAACTGCAGCCTAATTATTCTTTGTGCTACTGTAATAGCAATATATCAACTGACTTTCCTAATAAAACTTTGTATGCCTACAATACTATCTGTTCCTCCCACTCACTGCTGTGAATGCACTGCCAGCACATAAATGTAAATTAATGATACTATAACTCTATTTTATTAATAAGCATGCGATGCATGCATCAGGCTTTCATTTTTAAGGGGCGCGATCGCGCTCGCGCTCCACCGCGCACCCGAAATTGTGCCATGGTGCGCGCATCATCGCGCCTCATAAAAGTGGTTGAAATCGCGCACCAAAAGTATGTCTATTATGTTGAAATAGCGCTCCATAGAGTTCTCAATGTAGAGGGGTACAAAAGGGTTAGCAACACACAACAATTTGTGGTGTGTAAGTAACTGAACGTATGGCAGAGGTACAGGTCTGGTTACTACCCTCCGGTTTATATATATATATAAATACAACTAAACAACAGCATCCAAATACAGGTACCTATACGGTAGCCACAAGTTACCTGCTCGTTTTCTACTATACGTGGCAAGAAGTGGTTTTCTGCCGACGTGAAACAGTCGTAGGGCTGGAGGGGCTACATACGTGGCTACTACGTACAAGTAATTTGGCTAGTTTGTTGATGAATTTTGATGATATTTTGTGCTGAAATATGCAGGTACATGGATTAGAATCTCTAAGGAGCTCTCCATCATCCCTTTTAAAGGTGTGATTTTTAGTGGAGCTCTCCATCATGCCTCTTAAGGGTGTGATTTTTTAGTGGAGCTCTCCATCATGCCTCTTAAGAGTGTGATTTTTTAGTGGAGCTCTCCATCATGCCTCTTAAGGGTGTGATTATGGAGCGTGAAAAGTCCCCCTATGGTGTCCTAGGGGAGTCATTAGTAGTCCTCCTGTACTATTCAAATCTGAAAGCCTGATGCATTCACAGCAAACAGCATGCACATAGATAAAATATACAACCATCTATTATTAATCTATGCGTGCACAGTGCATTTACAGCATGAGCGGCGGGAACATCTGGCAGTATTTTAATCGAACGAGTTTTTATTAGGTGAGCAACTAGACACTTTGCGAGTACAGGAGCACAAATTGTGCGATTAGCGATTAGCAAAATGACCAAACACAGGCCAGTGCTTACGAAGTCAATACCTTATTTCTATTAATGACTCATTTATAAATGCCTGTGCACATAGGTTAATATTATAAAGTTCTCTATATTATTCATCCATGTGAGCGCATCACATTGCAGCTAACGTGATGACGAAATGACTCATTGCATGAGCAGAGCACTGGGAGCACTAGCTCTAGAACTATAGCCCTTCGCTCTGCCACAGGGCTAAAGCACAACTCACACCTTCGGTGCTCGCATTGGGGGATCGTGTTAGATATAGGTGCCTGTGGGCCAACCGGGCAGAAACCGAACCATCATCCAAAATGTAGGCAAAACCACGGGGCAGCCTATTACTCATGCATGGGGGTGAACTGACACATTTCTAATCATAAACATGTTGCCTGGCAACATTGTAATCAGCGCCAGTGCTATACCCTCACCCCATGAGTAATGGGCTGCCGTCCGCCCCTCGTTTTTTCTGTGATCTGTTCCTCTGGGGGTCTCAATCTGGACATCATCTCTATCATTGAACCCTAGGCGAGTTCCAAGAAACGGTATTGCTAGGGTTAGAATACCATATATTGACGTTAGTCATACAGCCTGGTCGGGTTAGCCTAGGCCTAGGGCCCACGATGATCGATCACGCACCTCCGTGCACAAACTGAGACTCACAAAATGATGGAGCAGGTGGGAAAGCACTGGCGTAGCTAAGGTGGGGCACAAGGGGGCCATGGCCCCTGTTGATTGGCAACAAAAAGCAAAACCAAAAATTTTCCTGTTGCCTCTCTACTGCGTCTCACAGGCTGGCCACACATTCCTGTTCACTTTCTGCATTGCCTGAACGAATCATGCTCTAAAATGAAGCATTGAGTCAAGTCTAACTCGTGTCTAGCAATGACCCGCACGATTCTCTGCGTCTGCATTCTCCTTTTCGTTGACCAGGAGTTACGTGAACTCGACATTAATGTCACGAAATCCTCAAAATGTTCCTGGTGTGCAAAATCGACGAGAGAAACTTGACATTGGATTTTTGAGATATTCTGCCAGACAGAGACAAAGAACATGACTAAAAGACAAGGAGATAAAATTCATTCTTTGCTCACGATTTTGTTGTTCAAAGTTCGAGCTTGATTGAATTTATGGTTCATAACTCTTCATGACAGAAGAAAGGAGAAATGGAATGCTCTTGTGGAATAACGTTTGATATAGTTCGAACTTACTAGCACGGCCATTTGGCATCGCACCTCGGTATTTATTTTCAAATCCGATTTCAACACTATTTTAAGTAAGCGTTCTCTATCAGGGGAGGCAAAAAACATGTCTTTTCATTCCTTTCCTTTCAATTTCCTTTTATTTTAATAGAGCGGCTATGTTTGGCAGCCTACCTTTGTTTTTTATTTCGAAACCAAATTTCAACATAATGGTTTTATTTTAAAGTGCTCCTGCATCAGAGGAAAGCAAAATACATTTTTTATAACAGACAAAATGTTAAATGTGACTCTTTAACGCGTATTAGTATTCTAAACGATGTAAATCTTTTTCTAATTTAAATTAAATTGGCATGTTTATTCAGTTGCAGTTCCAACACATCTACCTGTTTTTCCCGTAGATCTTTATTTCGATTTCATTCAATATGCCTCTTCTTCTTACTACACGTCGTGTGTAACCTCAGAGCCTTCCGGCGCCACAGCCAGGGGCCATCGTCCCACGTTGATCGGATCGGAGTGGAAAAAATAAAAAGCGAGGGAGGGCGGTTATAAGGGATTAGCATATGCCACTTCTCATATAAGTTACCCCTAATACTGAATTTTAGTGTGCAGAAAATGCCATTTTCATGCACGAATTTTCAAAAATCTCCCTACCGTGGGAGGGGGGATACCCCTCCCACACCCTACCCCCTCGGTCGCTTCGCTCCCTCGCCTTGGCCCCCCTGTTTCCAATTGCTGGCTACGCCACTGTGGGAAAGCGTGATCGCCAAGTTCTCATACGGCTCGCTTGTTTTAAAACTATCATAACAATATTACGATTAACCCACACATACATAATCATACAAATATATCGAGCTACTATTACTAATAGTAATAACAAATGTCAAGTGTACACAACAAATCGCTTCCATCTTGGTTTCTTTACCTTGCTGCGTTTTCTGTGTTTTCAAGCGACAGGTGGCGTGCAGAGCGGCTAGTCGGCGACTCCTGCTTGTCTATGGTTTATCTTGACTGAGCTATACGTGTAATAGCATTGTTAATTTCGTAATATATTGTATATAATCAGGAATTTGTCTATTAACTCCTGATATAATGTAAATAAATAAATATGTAATAATATGTAATATGTAGTAATATGTAATAATAATGTAATATGTAAATAAATATGTATTATAAATAATGTGATAAAATTGTTATTATATGTGTTATACGCGCAATCCTAAAGGTACTGGGTTTACATTGCCAACTTTGTGGTGGCGAATTGCCGAATTGTACCAACTTCGCAACTTCCCAACTGTCAATCGGCAGTGTAAACGCAAAAGTTGCGCGTCCAACCGATCGATAGCCATAGCAACTAGTAGGAGATTAGAACATGTTCGGAGTTGGCGAGTTGGACGTTTTTTTTGCCAAGTGGCCAATCAGAGAACAGCAATCAGGGGTGTGTCCACTGTACGCGTGTATGTGCGCGCACGCATGCGTGTACGCGCACGCACGCGTGTACGTGAACGCATGCGTGTATGTGCGCACACGCGTGTACGTGCACGCACGCGTGTATGTGTGCGCACGCGTGTGTGTGCGAGCATGCGTGTACGTGCACGCACGCGTGTACGTGCACGCACGCGTGTACGTGCGCGCAGGCGTGTATACGCACGCACGCGTGTATGCGCGTAGACATGCACACGTGCGGTCATGTCCAGCTGTGTACGGCAGATACACTCGCGTACACCTGTTGTACACGGGGGGGGGGGAGGTACACGCGTGCGCGCGAGGAGGAGGTCGGCAGCACGAGCATGGACAATTCCAATAGGCAACCCTTCCGGTAATCCACTGCCCTCATGGCATCCGCTGTCACTGTGCACGAGTCTTTGCACCTGTGCGTGCGGTACCTCGCGAATTTCTACATGCAATAATAATGTCTATATATCCATCGCCCCACGCGTACGCTCGCGGTCGACGCTGACCACTCGATCGAGTTGGCCAACTCGCAGTCGTCAGTGTAAACGCGCTGCCCAGTTCATAGAACGATTGATAGAGCGTTGGGAATTTGGTCCAATTCGCCAATTCGCCAACACAAAGTTGGCCGTGCACTGCGCTATTTACCGATCGGCAGACTGTGCGGCAATCCTAATTAAGATTGCGCAACGCATTTTTAAGATTGCGCTGTACTTAAAACAAACTAAAATATACGCCCGTAATAAAAGCTCCGTAATATTATATACTATAGGCTATAATTTATTGTTAGTATTATATGTTAGCAGTAAGTGGATCCCGATTTTGCAGGGTTTTGCAGGTTTATCAGCATGGGTTGGTGTGCTATAGAGTTCTATAAGATTGCGCAGGCCCGGTTTTACCATCGCATATCCCATCGCTGTATTGTTTATTTATTTTAGTAAAAATCGTCCGTAGATTGTGCTGCCCATCGGATGCAGATCGGAAGATTGCGCGCAACATATGCACTCAGGGATGGATTGCGCATGAATGGCTGGCAGACGAGGTGTACTACTACTATACGTAACGTGCACGTACATATACGTAACGTACAACATTATATGAACGGTTGTAAACGATAACATCTAGAGGTGTGATTTTCTGTTGTTGTTTTTTTTAATTCTGTGAACCATGGCGCACGCGCGGCAACATTGTGCTGTAGAGCAGTACGTATCTATTTGAAGCTAGGGCATTTATGTTGAATAATGTTACACTATGATTCCGATATAGGCCCAACTCACCAAATTTTACGGTGTGTGTTGGGGGGGGGCGAACGCGCGCGTATCTGCATGTGTTTGTGTTTGTGTTTGTTTGTTTGTTTGTTTGTGTGTGTGCGTGTGTGTGCGCGTGCGTGCATATGCGTGCGTGCGTGCGTGCGTGTGTGTGTGTGTGTGTGCGTGCGTGCGTGTGTGTGTGTGTGTGTGTGTTTGTGTGGCGTCGCCCGTGCGAGAGAAATAGAAGAGTGTGGTGTGTGTGTGTGTGCTGTGTGTGTCGTGTGTGTGTGTGTGTGTGCTGTGTCGTGTGTGTGTGTGTGTGTGCCGCGCGGCGCGTCATTGCGTGGTGGCAGTGCGGCGTGTTGTGCGCGTGCGTCGTGTGTTGTGATTGTGTGTGTGCGC